TCCTCCTTTGTTGCCAATTTGGCCAGTAATATATATTTGATTTTTCATCCCATTTTTCTGGCATATAATTCCTAAAATCCTTGGAATTTCTAAAGTGATGTTATTTTGCTTGACTTGAGTTTACTGATGACTGGCAGCCCCTGGAGAGCTTCAGGTTAGGGACTGGTCACTGGAAAGGCTAAGGCAGAATTAGAGGGTTAGGACTTTCAGCCCCATCTGCCAAGTGTCCTCCAGGGAGAAGAGTGAGGCTGAAGGTTAATTGATCACTGAGGGCCAATGGTATAATCAATCACACCTACATTTAAGAAAATAAAACTTCCTTAAATCCCCAAAGGCCAGGGCTTGGAGAATTTTAGGGTAGCTGAACAGATTGAAGTTTCTGGAGGGTGGTATCCCTAGAGAGGGCAAAGAAGTTCTGCACTCCTTCCTACAGGCCTCGCCTTATGCATCTCTTTATCTGTGTCTTTTGTAATATCTTTTATAGTAAACCTGTAAATATAAGTAGGCATTTCCCTGAGTTCTGTAGGTCTCTTTAGTACATTAATGAAATTCAAGGAGGGGTCTTAGGAACCTGACACCTGATTTATAACTGGTTAGTCAAAAGCACAGGTGACCTGTAGTTGGCATCTGAATCAGGGCAGCAGGGCACTGATCCCTCAACTGTGGGATCTGATCCTTTCCCCAGGTAGATTTGAAGGCACCTAGCTGGTGTCTGTTGCTACAACATTACTTGCTTGATGTGTAGGAAACCCACCTCCCACCCCTGGCATCAGAAGCATGCTGAATATATAGTGGGAGAGACTGCATTTGGAATTGCTTTTTCTACTGTTGTTCCCCAGAACAATAGTGTGTGTGTATATAATATCCCATAGAAAATATATTGTGTTTTCTTTCTATATACATTGCTGAGGGCCATTGCCAAGTAGGAATGACGCATTGAAATCCTTGCCAGCGTACCCCATGTTAAATGGACTTGCCTTGGAAATTTGCTGTGACCTTGCATGTGTGTTTGAGAAAGGTGACCCTGCTCAATGACCAGGGTGGATCCAGGATTAGGGTGTATCCTGCAGGTTTGAGGAAGTATCCCGGTCCTTGGGTTTAGGTCGTTCCAGTTTAAGACAATAGGAGTTTTAGGGAAGTTAGAGGTTGAAGATTATTCCTGCTGGGAGTAGCCCGTGCCTG